CCGGGCGCTCGCCTTTAATTCTCCCTTAACTCGAGCAACCTGAGTTCGATCCCCGGTGCCGGCACCAATGAAGTTTTTAACTTTAAGTGCTGACTTATCACGTGCTCCGCGGTGAAGGAAAACATCGTGAGGAAACCTGCATATTTTCGAAATAATAACAAAAAAAAATATTTCGAAGATATGTGAAGTCCGCCAATCCGCAGTGGGGCCGCGTGGTGGACTATGCCCTGATACCCTCTGTATAGAGGAGGCCTTTGCCCAACAGTGGGACATGTATAGGCTGTTACTTTACTTTACTTTTTTTACACCATTATATTTGTTATATTGTATATAATACAGATTAAATGTTGAAATTAATAAGTTATTTCTTTAATTGAGACATAATTTGGAAATAACATTAAAGGGCTGAAATAAGACGTTAGTAATATTAAATAAAGCATCTCATTAATTCATTCCATTTCAGGTCCACCTCCTCCCATATTAGAGAGGAATTGGAGCGTTATATATAGCTCGGTCATGTACATGGAAACTCAATGGGCGCTTAAGTAGGTAAATAGTTCATATTAATATTATAGAGTTAATAAAATTCATTTTTTTTTATGTTTTACATTATCTTTAAAACCTATGTTACAACAATCTTTAAAATTGTTGAAGCTATTTTTAAAAACTATTTATTAATATTTTTTAAAGTAAGTTAGACTATATTTTTTCATTCTCTTTATTGAATTCACAAAACTTCCCACCAATACAAAACAGTATCTAATGATCAAGTAGAACATGTGAAAATATCATTGGATTTGAATCATTAGATTTGAGTCGCTAGATAGATAATGGTTAGTGCAATGGAATCGAAACGTTGGTATATAAAAATAAGTGATAAATCAGAAATAACTATTAAATCTATTATTTATTTCGTAGCGCCAAAGAAAAAGCGAGATATGGTAAGGTGATCTTGTGGGTAGGGCATTTTCACTCATTATCTGAATTCGCGGCTTCGAATCTCTATGGCGTGTACCATAAATTTTCCTATTTTAGTATTTTTTAACAGTAATTTTTGTTATCTCATATACTTGTTCGGTGTCTAGAGCTACAGGTTAAAAATTGTTGGGTTATTTTTGTTAGGTTGATGTTTATATTTGGTAGGCTGTTATGCTCAACAAGCTCGGAAAAACGTGGATAGAATATTGTGTGGCTAGCGGTATTTCTCGATTAGAAGACTTATGTCCGGTTCCTATATTCAACGATCGGCCGTTAGTTACATTGCTTCGTAACTTTCATAACGATTTGTAGATAAAAGGCGCGTACCTACGGAAAGTGAGTGACTAGTGTTTCTTTGTAACTAACGGTCGTTTGTTGAATATAGGAACCAGGCGCTATGCAAATTAATAATAAATAATATAATATGTATTCTTTGATACCTTGATAGGATTTAGACACAAGAGCTCGTGGACACTGAAATCCAACTTCTTTTAGCAACTGAATCAACTTAACACACGCACGGTGTACCTGGCATGGGGGTAATTAAAAAAGCGGATATATCTTCCTGCAAACTGCCTGCTTTAAAAATGTAATACTATGTACGGACATTACGAAATTTTACTGCTAGTCGGAAACGGAAAGGAAAAAAAAAAACGACAAAGGTCGCGCGACCTTCAAGTCTTGCGTCGATCCAATGAGGTAGGTGTCAGAATCAATCTCAGATAAAGATACATTTATACATACAGTGTTCTCCAGATTCCCTCTGAGAAAAATACGTACTTTTTTCAATCGCTAATCTCTATTTTTTCATTTATTAAGCGGTCTTCTATATTATCTATCAGTCATTCATTTTTAATAAATCCATTCTATAGTACAAGCTTCATGAAAGAATACACCGTTGTCGGGGGCACGTTGTGCTCCCCTATAGATTAGAAGTTACGGAAGCAGTCTGTCCTAGCGCAGAGGGCTAATACAAGCAGGTTGTCCCTTGATAATATAATGTTAAATATAGCTGTGAATTTAATTCCCTTTATCACAAGTTTTTTAACATTCTGTGCCATCAGGATTGAGGTCATGCGGGAGCATGATTAAGGTTTACTTTTTATGTGTAAAATATGTTATATATTTAAAGTCTTAGAGAATTTAGGCTTAAACAATAGAAACGGTTAAACGAAATACGATATAGTTTCAAATAATGTATACCTAACATTAACAACGACTCCGAACTAATTTTTGTAGGATGTCTTGGCATAAGAAGACACATTGTTCTTCTAATTACTGATTATACAACTACAGAAGCATATAGGTCGACCAGTCATAGGCGAGAGAGCAGTGCACCCATTTATTATCCGTCTAGAAGCCTGCACTTGGAACACTATTATACCCGTTCAATTATCACACGTAACACAGAACATCAACAACAGACACACAGCACCGACCGTAGATATTTCTATTGAAAAATTGATAGATCTTTGTTATATTCTATAGCAAACATATGTACATATATTACGTCGTACGTCGGCCGTGATAGCTCAGTGTCCAGGTGCTCGTCTTTAATTCAACATACACGAGCAACCTGAGTTCGATCCCCGGTGCCAGCTACAATGAAATTGTTAATTTTAGGTGCTGAATTATCACGTGCTCAACGGTGAAAGAAACCATCCTATTTCGAAGATTTGTGAAGTCCACCAATCTGCAGTGGGGCCGCGTGGTGGACTATGCCCTCATACCCTCTGTACAGAGGAGGCCTTTGCCCAGCAGTGGGACATGTATAGGCTGATACTTTACCGCGTATACCATTTCACGATATATATAAAACTAGTGAACATCCCAGTTGATCTCCCTTATGCAGCTTAAAAGAAAATTAACGCATACGATTCGAGGAATGGCATGCAGCGTTTCGAAATGAGCCGCATTTATCGGGGCGTGACAATTAGCGCGACGTTTCGACTCGAACCGCGCTCGACATTGGGGGTTACGAACTCGCTAACGTTTGATTGGCCCTTTGCCCCGTGTAGGAGTCACCTCGTTGTGCACGGCGGTGCGGACTCGCTCTTGCTTTGAAAATCGACTGTCTATTTAACTCTCTGTGGCGGCTGCATTCCTGGTACTCATTAGCAACAGCAGTCAAATGTTCCATGGCTAAATAAACCGTTTCATATACATCGACGTAAGAAAAAATATTTAGTGTAGCCCACAAGTGTAGTGAATTTTCACTAGAGCCCAAAAATTTGTTCGATACTAAAAACATTGCTTCAAATTTGAAATACCTAATAAGTGTGAAGACGAAGACAAAAAGACATATTGCTCCAAAATATTTTGTGACTTTCCATCACATTTTATATTCATAATTCCTGATAATTTCTTGTATTTTAGTTTCTTTTTCTTGTACATTATATTAGTTTTATTTAATAATATATAATTCCTCTTTTTATCGGTTACATCAAATAAGTTTCCTGACGTCGAATATGTATTTATTATCAGAAAAGAAAACCAGTTGAGTAGTTACAAAATCATGATATGAAAGAATTTCAAAAAGCTTTTCATGGAAATTTTGCAGTAGGTTTTTTTTGTATTTTGTTGTATTTTTTGCATGTCAATGAGAAATACTTTTGATTATTCATCAGGTCAGGTCAGTGGGATCGATGCAGTTTCGTCGTCGGCATGTTTTGATTGCGCTGAATGAAAACACACATTTGTTTACGAACAAAAGCCTACGAGAGTGAGAGCATAATGTTTATAGAAAAAACCGAAAGCGACGTGATAAAAGTTGGAACAATTAAATTTTCGCGTGTAAACGCGTGTTCTCATGGACTTTAGACGCAGGAGTTTTAATTAAATTTGTATTGCAGATAAAATTATAAAGTGCGTTCGGATGAGTGGTGGCGAAATAATGTGTTACATACACACTGATGTTATTAGTTTTTTTTTTTATTTTTTTAGTTTTCCCAAAGAGGGTTGACGTCAGGCCGGACGTAAAAAATCGACGTAAAATCACGATGATGCATCTTGGCGAAGTCTCAACTCGGAATTCGACAAGCGAGTACAACCGAAACTTTTAGACACTTCAAATTGCCAATTTTACGCCCGAAAAAAAGCTGGATATTAAATGCCACTTAGCAGGGGCTTCTGTAACCTTATCTATTAATATATTTTAAGTAAGAGAAAGAATAAAAAAAAGTTTTAATATCATATATTTTATTCAAAAAGGGCAGATGAAAGGCATTTTCTATGTGCAGTTTGTAATCGTTGGAATTTTAAGGATGATTTATTTGTTCTGAAAAATCTATCTAACCTATGCGCAGTAAGAGTAAAGAATGGACAGACACAACTTTTGCAATAATAGCGTATCAGTATATTATTATTTTAGTCATTAAAAAAATACATTGCTCGTAAAATTTCACACAGGTACCTACTTGACATACCTATCACAATCATACGTAGTCGTTAAAATACTTTCTAAGCGGAAGACAAACCTGAGACCGGTGGGATCAAAGCATATATAGCACCTGGGACAACCGAGCCATAATACGTGAGAGTACGGTACAGACAGTTATTATGTAAAATATGAGTATATTTAAAATAAAGTGGCAAGTGTCCAAAGCAACGCCAAGAGATGCAATTAAAGTGTTTCTGCGGTTAATTAGGGATGATCGATCTTTTATAATCAATCTTTGTAACTAATGAATCCTGGCCAATGCAACAAATATAAAGGAAAAATCGAAGTACTTTCTATCATAATTTCGCACTGAGTAAAACGCCTACAAAATCATTAAGAAAGGAAATTTGCTTTACTTACGCTGAAGATCGAATTTTCATTCAATTGTAATAAAAGGTTTCGATTAACGATACTACATTTAAATTTTTACTACATTTTTTTTTGTGAGAATGGAATAAGGTGATTATTAAAAATGCCACACGCCTTACGCGAAGGCGTTAAGTGTGGCATTTTGTGGGATACCCAGAAAAGCGGCGGTCGTACCGTGTGGTGTTTTCGCTGTTCGCAAAATGTAGTCACTCACCGTGGTTGATGCGAAACTTGAGGTGTTTATCCAGGACGGGGAACTCCACGAGAGCGGAGATCTCGTCGATCGTGAGGGCGGCGCCGACGCGGCACCTCGCATCAGGGCACGAGACCTCGTAAGCGCCATTGCATACCTCGAACTCCACGTAGGCCTTCATGCACTGTAAGAAATATATATATATATATATAAATCTACAGATATAATAAGAATATTAACACCGGCCGTAAGTGAAGTTTTCTTATGGTAGTAGGGGAGAAGTCTAGTACTGAATATATGTTGATGAATTTAGAAGTATGCCATTAGGATCTGGAGATGCATGGTGGACTATGCCTGAAATTGATAAGTAATTCAACAAGTCAATTGTTGCTAACAAGTTAGCGTCTTTCGTTGGTGAGACAAAATTAGAGTGGTCAAAGGTATACAGACAGTGATAGTCTTTAAAAATGTAGATAGATATAACGAACGATATAACGAATATAACGAACGTCTCGATGAACTAATAATGCTTCAAAAATGACTTTATTAAATAGTAGTTGTTATGATAAACTCAGTGACGTTGAATTAGTTTACAATATTACATTTCCGGTTACCGGCACAAGACAATCAGCAGTACAGTATCTAGAGAGTCAAATCGGATGGCATTACGAGACGTTTGATATTGTGCGATGTGACTGATGAGCCATTACCCACAAATAACATCGTGATCCGTCAATGCGATGAGATGAAAGTTGAATGCTGTTGTATAAGCAACAATGGGAGTGTAGAGAGTCGATCGTTGCGTAGCATCGACGAAGCGCTGTGACAACTCAATTGAAGAGAAACCAAACAATGAAAACCTCACGTTCCCATTGAATCGCAACGTACAGCCGTGGTCGGGTCGAAATATATGCAGATTAAAAAAAGGAAAAAGACCCGTGCAATATTTGCAAACTAAAATTTTGTTTCTGATGAAACGATCTACGATATGCTTCAGCCGGATTGGGGGAGATATTTTGTTTGCCAAAACTGCACTTTTATAAATAAGCAACAAGTCATTGAATTACTTAATAGCAATTCTCATATTTGTGGTTATTTCTATAAACATGTTCAAAACCAAGTTGGCAAATTATGTTTCAATGAATCATCACGAGAACAAAAGAAAAAATTACATGTACTAATAATAACAATTACATAAATACTTTTTGTGTTCATAAAATATTTTTAAATCAGTTTTGATTTCATAATAAATAACTAATAATAGGTTACTAAAATGCATTGCATTTTATATCTTTCGGTGGTTTTATCTATTGTATATTTTTCATGGTATAAAAAATTATAAACCATTTCAATTATTCATTTATGCTACCAGTTAATGCTGTAAATTTAAATCGCAATGGATTTTATTACTGGAAGTTATATATATAAGATTTTTGACTTATATAACAATTTCCTCCTAACGTTTATAGTTAGGATGCTCTGCAAGGAAATTCTTATACGGAGCCGGTTCTAAGTTAATCAAACCAACATTATGACTGCCCATTAGACACTTCTATACTTACTGTATATGGTAATAGGGTAATTTAAAATTCTATAACCTGAGTGTATAAATAACACTTTTCGCAGTTATTGGGACTAAAAATTCATGGCCCTTCCGTCTCATTGAATTTAATAAAAATTTATTACGTAAAGTGATAATTCACTGTCGTATCAGAATTTATAAAGTAGACTTAATAAAATAAAAACAAATAAGAACTCTTTTAATGTTAACTCGCAGAATTTAAAATAATTAATGTAACTATATAAGGCAGTGCAGGAAAGGGAACTGATTGTCACCTTCGTCGCTTCCGCAATAGCTGAATCCTGAAACGCGTTTAAGAATTAATTTAAAATCGATTTAATTATAAACTTAAGTAAACTTAGTTCCACAAGGTCTTTTAAGCAACTAAAAATTGTACAATATTGAATTTATATTTCATTAAAATTTATATTACACATACGGGTGCAGTAGAAGGGTTCTCCGCAATGGATAAATTTAACGATGTTAAAAAGCGAAGGTGAAAGACTAACTTGAGTACTAGACGCGACAAAGATATATCGTTGCACTGCATGACGTCACATCCGCTATATCGACCAACATTGACGGTTCCATTACAATACACGCAATCATATTTAATGACAGCGTCTCATGCACGCACAGTTGTGATGCATGGTAAATAGTTATAAATTATGTCGGTGTAAAGTGACAAGTACACATTGATTAATTATACGGTAATAAAAATTAATTGCTGTAAATAGTTATGGTATGCTATTTGGTTATTACCACGATAGCATAATAGTGTTAAAGGTATAATATGAAAAGATATTATGAGTGGACTACTGGCTCCGTAAGATATTTGAACTCTGCGTACATATTGTATTAATTATGTGTAATTGTTAATGTGTAACTGTTATAACCCAATAAATAAAAAAAAAACATAGTAACATCTAATGCCCCCACATTTGCAACCTGGGGGGTCCCTGGGGGTAGGTCGGCAGACTTTTATTCTATCTAATCGTTCGATGTACTGATTTCTATCACACAACCACATCGATTGTGAAGACTTGGACAGCAAATGTACGTTTGGTTTCTGATTATTTTGCGATGGTTGATTAAAATAATGGTTTACAGATAGCGTTAACGCATAAAACACATTACAGGCGTCACAATGATTGGCGTCTGCTATTATTGTGTTTAGTATATAATACATCAGATTCACACACTTGACGATAATTCCTTTGTAAATAATGTTGTTAAGAATACGGCCCCTCGTGACCTAGTTGGCTCAAGTACAGCCTTTGCAGTACGTCTATACATCACAATCATTTATTTAGACATCAATGTTGGCAATGATTTGAAGATACAGCAAAGTATGATGTTAACACTATACATCAAAGTGAATATATTCTATACATATACTGTGTATATAATATACTATACTGTATACACTATGTATATACTGTTACAGTAAACATTGTAGTAACAAACACTTACTATACAGGCTATTATTCATAAAATTTTTTCATAAATGCTAAGAAAATCTTTATTAACGTAAATAATTTATCGACCTTAAAAATGACTTAACACCTATAAATACTATTTTGATTAGCACTTTCGAGAAGTGAAACTAAGCCATTCCAAAGAATCAATGACGAAAAAAATGCATACCGTGATCAAAACATTACTTATATATCAATAAAACTTTATTCATTTGCTATGAAAATGTAACAGAGAAAAAAGTAAATATCGCTGCACTTGACATTTATTCAAAAAATAGAACGAGCAACTTTTTTCTAAAGAAAATAGAAGCCAAGAATAACTCTCGGTAGCGTTTGAAATAACGTCTCCGTGGGCAGTGTCAAGACAATACGAATTTAGAACGCAGTTGTATAATTAGCGTCCGTTACTTGGAAAGTGCGAGAAAAACAGAAAAATAAAGTGAGTTAACGGAATTATGGTAGCGTCATACTCACGCATACATCTCACAAAGCGAGCATCGCTTCAATGTCCTTTGTTATTAGCTAAATTAATATTTTTTATTAGAATAGGTCTATTTACACATACATTTGAATGCAGTGTGTTATTGAGAAAAATTAGATAGATATAGATAAAATTTTGTCAGAGTATCGTACATATTCATTTGGACCAGTGACAATCCAAATTCAGTGAAGTGAATCATTGCATTTTGTACGTAATGATTCAAAAAATTAATAGTCATTGTATATGCATACTGGGATTCGAACCTTATCTCGACGTTGCAACCACTGGCTACCATTTAACAGAAACAATATAAGCTATATAACACAAACAAAATTGTTTTGAAGTCCTTATTGATCCTTTGTAACTTCTTAAGTACCAGGGTAACATAAGCGTTTGGAGTTGATGCCAGTAATACCGGTTAGCTTGCGTGCGATAAACCGCACATTTAATACAACGCGACTGTCTGACGTAATTTTCAAAGGCACGAAGTATGAATGCGGCATTTCGCACAGCAAAACCGCTGCTCTTTTATGGGCGCCTGGTATTTATAAACGTAAGCAGCAGTGTTTTAAAATAGTAACAACGTTACGAGTTTTAAGAACACAATAGAAAAACTTATATTGTTTTTCGTAAAAAATAAATAAATATTTATTTACATAAAAAAGTAATTCAACCGTAAATTTTTCCAGTAATAAATACCACACGTTGTTTTTTCGAAATTTTCGAAGATCTATTTATATTTTCTAATAAGCTAAATAAATTACTTCCGCCGACAATTCACGCGACTAAAACATGCCGATCGTTAAGATGATTGAAGATAATCTATGAATAATCTACATCATTACATAATACAAGGTGGCCAAATTTATGCTGCGCCAATACGGACGGTATCATCGTAACTTACTATCCAATCCCAGCTGACATATATTTAGTGCCAAGTTCAAATCAAAAAAAACAATTTATATGATCGAATTAGTTACCATTATCAGACTATAATTTAGAAGGAGTTAAAGTTGACTATTCCGCCAACGGACCCATTTTTAAGAAGAGAGAAAGACTCATAGTATGTGATTGCAGCCAGCCATGGACACATGCGACACCAGAGGGTTTGGAGGCGAATTTCAATTGTTTAAGAAAGGTAGAAAGGCCTATTAGAATATTAAATTATAAGAAAAATAACATCGTTATTCGAAATATATAATTTTCAGAATTGGTAATCTCAAGCCAATAAGATATTTAATCGATGTACATTATTCAAAACTTTATGGTATATAGGAGTATCTCTGAACGCCTAAATAAACCCATCGTAGCATTGTTGATGAGATAATTATGATTAAATCTTCATTCACGTGTACGTTTTATATTCAAAAAAATTTTATTTTTCGGTTACAAAAGGCAGTGTTATAAATTTTAGTAGTTTATTCGGTTCTATCGATTTAATTCCCTAACCAGAATAAATATTCAAATATTTATATACCAAACAATCATTATCATGTGTGTATGTAATAAATAAAAAGCTTGTGTTTTGAATAACATCCTTAAAGCTAAACGTAAGTTGTTTGTTATCTGTCATTGTTAGTATTTGGTCAACAGGATGTGATAATTAAGTGAAAACTACTAATGTTGCATAAAAGAAAACGAATTCTAACTTATATACGCTTACG